ACTGAGATGTGATATAGCATGTGGTGGGGTATTGTTAGACATTAGTGCTGCCAGGTCTCGTTGTTTTTTAACCAACCATGGAGGGGATCCTGTCAGAAGTTCTAAATATGTGGCTCCTAGGGACCACATATCTGTTTGGAATGAGGCTTCTTCAAACTTGACTATGCATTCAGGGGCCATGTAAAGATATGTGCCACCAGTTGGACCACAAGCCTGGGCAGTGAACTTACTGCCTTGGCGAAGCATCACTGTATCCCTTACGTTTGCCATGCCCCAGTCTGTCAGGACTGCCCTCTTAGATTGCTGGTGAACCTGTAAGATTTGAATTATTTTTTTTATTAAGTCATTAAAATAAAATGTATACGGTACAATAAAAACAAAACAAATCAACTTAAATGTAATGAAGCAGTAGGAAAATGTTTTCATAACTGACCCCCTTTTTAACCTACATGAAAATGAGATATATAAAATCAGATGCCTCCTGAAAAACAACTCATGTCACACTGCTAAATCCTATTTCTTCAGCAAACTAGTCATGGTCATAAATTGCTATAAAACCTTTTAATCCTTGAACCTATGATGAAATATTTGCACAAATAGAAACACTTGTGTATAATAGACTGAGGAGACTGAAGTCAAAGAACTGTAACATAATTAATACACAATTATTGTTATTAACTTAGAAAAAAGAGTAACAGAATAAATCAGACAAAAGTAACTGGCTTACCATGACATTTGCTGGCTTTATATCCTGGTGAATGATTCTCTGTGCATGGATATACTCTACAGCCATGGATAAGTCTAATGATATGAAACTGGCATCATCCTCTTCAAGCTAACAAGAAAATATGCCATATTAACAAAACACAGTGATGTAAATTGAAATTATCCTAAAATGTGTATCATTGGAAAATTGAAAATTGTACAAAACTGACTATAAAACTCCTAGAATTGTTTAAGGCTGTTTTGGTACAGTTGAAGGTTTATACAGGTTAAATGCTCAAGCCTTTAAGGCCCTGTCACACTAGAGAACTTATGCCAACTTATGAACTGTTTAAAGACATCTACATTGAAGATGGAATTGAAATAATCAACAGGAAGCTTCTTTTTGGCGTGCACATAGTGTCATTCAAACAAATTGCTCAAATATATAAGTTATTAGCAATTTAGACATAAAAAATGTTTCATAGGTTTAAATACATTTTCTATTGTGATGATGATGATTAGCCAGCTAGTCGGAGTCGACTCTCGGCCACCTCATGGACCAGAACTGATCCACAAGGAATTACGGCAAGATAGTGGGGTAGTTTGCCATTGCTTGCCCCACCCCTCCCATTTATCCGGGCTTGGGACCGGCATGTAGTTGTTGCCAACTACAAGGCTGGGTGTTCCCCGTCGGGGAATCGAACCCCGGTCTCCCGCATGACAGGCGGGGATACTCCCACTATACAAACGGGGATTTCTATTGTGACAGAGCCTTAATATGGATTTGTCTCCTGATTCTTTCTTGCCTGACATTGCAACGTGTTTTCTTATACCTATACCACGGAAGCCGAGAGCGGCTGTTTTCCAC